AATTTTAGAACTTTTTATTCAACCTTTTAAAAAATCAATCAAAATATTTAATTCAATTTATCAACCTCTAATCCTCATCTAATTAAATTAATTTAATCAATACTGGTTACTTCTAGGTAACCCGGGTCTATGAGGCTATTAGCTTAGCTCTAATGAAGGTGAAATAAACCTAATGACCCCGACGAACAATAAAGGTAATAACCATTTAACTATTAAAATACACATAAATTAAGCTTTAAAATATTAATATTTAAACTCAAATATAAATTTTTTCCTTTGATCTTTAACAAATTCAAACACTAGATAATTTCAAATAATTGCCTAGCTTAGGATATACCCGAGCCACATATCCTTTTTGTACACACTTTAGATGGTTTACTAGGATAACCAACTCTAGTCTAGGCTAGGCTGATGTTAACTTTTTTGGAACTATGTGCCGAGTTTTCATTGCATACTATGATTGAAAATTGGTTGATGTGAGTTTACTTACTTTAGCTTCAATATGTGAATTAATATGATGGGTGATAGATTACCCTTAGGTTAGGAATGATATGGTTGCTCGCTAAATTTTCTGCAGGTGGTCACACTCGTGTAGGGCAATAGAATGGGGCTAAATTAATAATAAATATAAATGCAACATATGCTTCTACTACTTAGCCTCCAAATAAATAAGAACGTGGTCAAATGTGATTTACTTTTCTTATTGTGCATATATATTTGATTTTAAATGTTTAGGATAATCTTGTAGGAGAGTTTAGAAATTTTCATTTCTATTATTAACGTAATTTGTTTAAAGGACTGGGTTATCAAAATTAGTCTTTGAGTTGGGATTTAGGTATCCAAAATTGAATTCGAAAGAGAAATGGATACCCCTTAAGGGGGCTATCTTTTTTTATTTGGAAGCTTAAATTTGGATAATTTTAATACCCAAAATGAAAAGAATAACCTCTCCTTTAAGGGAAGAGTTTTCTTTTTTATTTAGGTATCCATATACGACGAATCCAAGGAGCCCTAAGAGTTAAAGACAAAGAGTATCCCACTCAAAGTGAACTTGCGTCAATCCTAGGATTATAATTTGGGTTTGTTGTCAGTGATGCCTGAACACTTTTAATTTATGTAAATTCTGGGTTGTAATAAAAGGGAATTTTATATATGTACATTATTTTATGGAATTAATTTGATAATTGATGTGTTTGATTTATTTTGATCGTGATTAGGACTGCCTACTTTTCCTAATTTTTTTGTGATTGCATGTTATTTTTATTTTAGCATGAATACACAGAGGCTCGTGAGGGTACGTTAAAACTATGTATATTCAAATTTAAATAAAAACTTTAAGATAATATAGAAACTCTAATTAATGATTTAAGAAGTAAGCCAAGGACTGCCAGGAGTTAACATAAGCATATTATTAATTATCTTTCTTGTTAGGCACTACTCACCTGTGGGTTCTGGCAGACCATCTGACCTTTGAGGGTGTAGATTTGTCAAGGAGATGTTGTGCAATCTTTAGGAAAAAATAATTTTTAAAGCCTTTTTTTCAAAAACAGCTTCATATATATTTTATGCATTTAATCGAGTCGATCAATATGCATTGCATTAGAAATCGATTAAATAAGTCTAAAATTTTAATTGCATTTTCTTCAAGTATTTTCACCCTACATAAATCAAGGAACAACTTAGGATCTGCTCTAGACATCAGTCTCAATTCTCAAAAACTCTAACAATAAAGTCCCTACCACTCTTTCATGAAAAGATCGAATTCATGGATTTTAATCAACTAGGTGGTTAATTGGCTCCCCAAACTAGGATGGGGTAAGTCCAAGTTTTGCACTGCATTAGCTTAGTTCGGGCTACTGTGGTCTGGTGTCCAATTTAGATTTATGATCCAATACAGATTCTAAATCATAAGATCCCAACCTCCAGAAATATAATCATAAATTTCTAATAAATTTCCCAACTTGAATTAAAGATCCTTTCAATCCAAAATTTAAAGCCCAGCACTCAAATTAGGTTGGGGTACTTCTGAATCATTTTAGAATTCTAAAGTGCCTCTTACTCCTCATCCGTTGACTCTAGAATTGTTCAAAATTAGATATAATCTCCAAAATCACTTTCTTTGATATCACTACTAGACAAACTCTAAACAAAATTTATGCTGTTATTTTAATCGAGAGTATTTATAGAAAATTCATACGATGTAATTAACTACGGGGGCTTGCACTCATAGGAGATTTAGAACTCACGTATATTTTCAAAAATTGATTTTCAAAACTCAACTAATCTTCTTTAGGAAAATTGAATTAACAACGATCATTATCATCATATTCAGACAATTGATTAGTAAATGATATTATATTCCTTCGGTAATATATATCATTTCGTATCAAGACTCTGAATATGAAATTAATGATCTCACATCCATATTGTAATAGTTAAATACAAATAGAATGCATCCATATTGAAATTAATAATATGCATTCATATGTAGTTCCTCCCTGAAATTAAATATTACAGTCCTGATGAAACATTCAGTTCCATTATATGAACACATTAAGGAATGATACCTTCGCCTCCTAGGGCGATATATCGTTCATAGTGACGTGTTCTATTTTGAAACTGAAATTCCGACTTAAAATTCCCAAAGAAAATTAATCTTTTCAAAAACCACTTTTCAACCAAACACTAATAGTCAAATAATTATAATCAGATGATAGTTGAAGGTTCAAAGTCGAACGATGGTTGTTGGATGATTATAATAAGACGTTGATAGTTAAAAGAGTGAGGTCAACTAATAGCAGTTGGAGGAACATAACCAAACATTGATGGTTAATGGATTGTGGTCGATAGATGGAGATTTGAAGGTGGTTGTTGGACAGAGCTAGTCCGATAACAATGTTCCATTTGCAATGGTATGTTAGTGGTAGTCCAATGGTGTTGGCTCAATAATGGTTATTTGATGATAAAGGTATAGTGATAGTGGTCAAAAGGAGGTAGTTCGACAATTGTAGTTTGATAGCTAAGCTCTCTCAAATTTCAAGACAAGGTCAAAGCACAAGTTTCATCCCCAACCCCCTCCTTTGCAAGTAGAGAGTAAAAGTCTACTTATAATTTTTTAGAGTGACACTTTTTGTTAATATAGCTGAAATTCAAAACACTATATTAGACACCCTATATTGATCCCCTTTATCATAGTTATACTTTTGACACTGAGGTACCTTAATGATATTAAAATTAAGTGATATTGGGCTCATTGGTTTCATCACATCGAGACACTTGAATGGACTATAAGTATGCAAGATTTGGAGTTCATTTAATAACCATAATTAAGGTCTTAAATTTTTCAATTAAATTAAATGCTTGATTTAAGCTTATTTGGAGTCCGATTAGAACATTTTAGGTGTAAATAGATTCATCCCATTGAGACATTTAGTTCAACTATAAATTTTCTAAAATTAGAATTCAAATGTTCTAATCATGAAAAATTTTAACCCAAAATTGCCTTGAGATTTATGCTTAAGCAAGTGGATTTTCTTGTGACATAATAATGTTAATTATACTGAGTTTATTAGTAATAAAAAATTTGGTATTAATTTAATTATATTTTGTATCCACATCACATTCATATATTAAGGATTATAATAAGTGATGGATGTCTACTTCTATAGTTTTTTTATTAGCACTTCTCATAAAACATTTCTTTTTTAGTTTCATACACCAATATATGTTGCATTATACTTTGAAGTAACAAATGCTTGATGAATAAATGATGTTGACGTAGAATGTTATTAAGTAAAAAATTAAATATTATTCGCATTTTAAGAAATTAATTAAAAATTTTGTTTAAATTATATAATATATGTGTTGTAAATTTGATAATTCAACTTAATTATTTAATCCCATATCACTCTGAAATTTTCTCTTAATATTATTTATACACATTTTTTTTGGAAAAATTCTGAGTATAACCCTTTTCATTAAAATGAATTAGTTACATGTAATGAAATAAAATTTGTAAGGAAAATGCCTTAACTGAAGTAGCCAAAGCCCAAAAAAGGGGAGAATACAAAAATCCCCTCTACAAGAGAGCATACTAAAAGGAAAAAAATAATTCAATATCTAAAAGACAGTTCAAGAAAAATAAACTGAAACAGGAAGAGGGAGGCAATCAAGCCTCGGGCTCAGGAATTGCAACTCTCTCAATCTCGTTGCAGAAAAGAAACTGCCAAAACTTTACTGCTGTCCTAAGGAGAAAAAAGCAATTCTATCATCCTTGCCAATCTTCTGAAATATATAATATATGTCTTGTAAATTTGATAATTTAGCTTAATTATTTAATCCCACATCACTCTGAAAATTTTCTCTTAAAATTATTTATACACATTTTTGGATTTACATGTTTTAGGATCTCACATATAGGGCAAATTATTGTGTCCGGTGTCCGGATTCATCCGGACACCAATCCGGTGTCGCCACGTCACCAAAATACATCGGGACCCAATGTATTTGAGTGATGTGACATCACCGGATTGGATGTCCGGACATCCGGTGACCGGATGCAATAATTCGCCCACATATAGGGCCATATATATAATATACATGTTATTAAAAATTGAAGTTTTTTAAATTTAAATTTATTTATTAAATTTATTATTTTATTTAATATTTAAACTAAATTTATTAAACCATCCAATTTGATTTTCAAGGCTGGGTCATTTTTGAGGAAAAAAAAAACAAGAGAGATAAGAAGTCTGATTAGAGCAACTTCCTTTAAATATGAGAATTCTAGCACGTATTTTGACCAGAAAATTTTGGTGGTTACAAATGGAGAACAAGTGATTGTTTCAAATAATTTTGGGGTTTTTTGTTTTCTTGAGGCCTCTCAATTCTGACAATTCTGACCATCAAATTCAATGCGGAAAGCAACACCTGAGATTATTTTGAGCTTGTTTTAAAGACAGAATGGCTCAACGCAGGGGTGGAATCACTGTAGCGGCAGGGGGGCAATTGCCCCCCTAAAAAATGTAAAATCCTTTTAAGTCTAAGGGCTGTTAGGTAATTTGCCCCTTCAATAGGTTTAAATTTGCCATAATATCAGATTTTTCTCCAGATTTGCCCTGCCGAACGAACGCAATACTCACTCAGTCGCTCCGCTGTCAGCTCCGAACGAACGCGATACTCGCTCCGCTCCGAACGAACGCGATCGCCATCTTCATCTCCGGCTCTTTTGATTTTTTGTTCTTGAAGCTTGAATCCGGGGAGACGACTGGAGAGGACTTCATTTTTCATCATTCTAAGTGCTCTGGTAAGTCTTCTTCGACATTTCTTCCGTTCTTCCGCCCATTTCTTTGCTTCTTTCGCTGATTTCTTCGCTTCTTCCGCCGAAATTTTTTGATTCTACAGTTTTTCATCATTCAAATGCACACAACTAGATTTCTTAAATTTTTAGAAGCACTTTTTATTTTTCAGTTCTTAGATTTTAGAAGCACTATTTTTTCATCAATTATTTATGGTTTAGCTTAGCTTTCAGAAATCATAGCCTAGAAACAAGAGATGCTCATAGATTATAGAACGGTAAAAAGAAAAGGAATCCAAAGATGGTTTTTTTTTTTTTCTCAGTTATGTATCAGAAGCAAAACAAACTTTGAATTACACTTTATATGGTTAAATTTGCTCCTCTATATTGTGCCTAGCTATTCTAGAGAAATTATTTGCTATGCATTTGTCTCCAGGCTGAGGGTTTAAGAGCACGGTATAATATGAGGGAACCCTACTAAACGAAAGATTTCGTCTTAAGACTAAGGGGGAAAAAGGTGAGGATTATGAGCATTTGATGTAAAATTTTACTTTATATGATATTCATCAATATTGGTGGAATATTAAGAGATACTATTTGTGACATATTTAAGTATATTAGATTTATTTTAGTTTATATGATATTAAAAGTTTTGAGCATTTGATGTGAAAAATTAGTTACTTTTGATGTTACACCAGTGAATAGGTTTTTGAATTTTTAATGCTCACAAAATCTAATTTAGTTCTTCTTTCATTTGTATGATACTTGATTGCATTTAAGTGTATGTATCTCATCTACAAAATCTATTAAAATAAGCATAGCATAGTTTTTAATGTTTAAGTTGAAGTTTCTATTGTATAAGCATACTTGTTTGTTATGATGTAAATATTTTGATTGACGGTTGCTTTTTCTTGGTAATAAATTTCATTCTAGGGTTAAATAATAGAGCATTATTTAAAGGGAGAATGGATGGAATGCTTTACTAGCCGAAGTGTCACGTTTTGTGGTGTTTTTGAAGTTGTTGTTCCAAACATGAATGAAACATACAAAACTCGCCATCAAGTAGTGCGAAGAGGTGAAGAAATAACAAATCTACATCATTATCGTGCTGATTTATTTTATACTGTAGTTGACATGCAACTACAAGAGCTAAATAATCGATTTTCTGAATCAAGTACTGAGTTACTATTTTATGTGTCATGCTTAAACCCAAGTGATTCTTTTCATGCTTATGATGAAGGGAAGTTGATAAGTCTAGCAGAGTTATATCCAAGTTATTTTTCTATAATTGAGATTGTTGCTCTTAAAAGTCAATTATCAACTTACAAGAGCTAAATAATCGATTTTCTGAATCAAATACTGAGTTACTATTTTATGTGTCATGCTTAAACCCAAGTGATTCTTTTCATGCTTATGATGAAGGGAAGTTGATAAGTCTAGCAGAGTTATATCCAAGTGATCTTTCTATAATTGAGATTGTTGCTCTTAAAAATCAATTATAAACTTAAATTATTGATATGCGGACCAGTGAAGAGTTCTCCTCTTTAAGAAGTATTGTTGATCTTGCAAAGCAGATTGTTAAGTTCAAGAAGAATGATGTGTATCATCTAGTTTACAGACTTATTACTTTAGCATTAACTTTACCAGTTGCTACTGCTACAGTTGAGAGAGCATTTTCAGCAATGAAAATTATAAAACATCGATTGTGTAGTAGGATGAGTGATGATTGGCTCAACGATTGTCTTGTGCCTTACATTGAAAAAGATGTATTTGATTTGATTCCCAATGAAGATGTAATCCAATATTATAAAAAAAAGCAAAATAGATTGAAAAAATTGTAATGATTTACAATTTTTCTATCATATTGGAATACAATATTTCACTTTGAATTATGTCCTCATTTTGTTTTTTGTTTTTTTATATTTATCTATTAATAAGAAAATTTTGTCCCCCCTACGATGAAAGGCTGGTTCCGCCCCTGGCTCAACGTCTACGATTCCAAGAAGAAATGCATGAATTTATGTTGTGAAATTTTGATGCTTAAGCTGTGGCGTTCTGTATGTCAATATTTTGGGGTCAATCTTCTTTGCCATTGAGGAGCTTAGCCTCAAATTTAGATAAAATGGATAAACACACAAGATCCAAAATGAACTCAGTAAAATTAACAACAAACAGTTCTGAAAACAACACACTCCCAAATTCTTCTGTGAAACTCACGCTCAAATCAACAACAATTGCAATCTCCCCAGACAGAGATCTCTACTAAAACACAATTACTCAGTTACCCCACTTAGGAGGCAAAAAAGGATTATGGACTTCGATGAAAGGATAGTTATCATCAAAATAGCTAGCACTGACACCTTCTTGGACTTCAATGAAAGGGTTATCCTTTACTCCTTGTTGATTCGATGATAACTGAATCTGAGAGAAGAGGTTGGGGTGAAAGTTCTCGCTTTCATCTTCGAAAGATACCCAATTTCCTTCAAAACAGTTATCATGTTTTGCCTTCGAAGCATTTCTAAGATTTTCCATCTCTCCAACATGATCCTTGAACTCTTTCTTCACAACATCAAGAACAATGTCTCCATATGTGCTGCACCATGATCTGATATATATAAGAAATGATTATTAATTTCAGTTCATTCTAATGATCAGCACGTAGTAAGAGCTTCAAAATTTTACTTTGGGAAGAATTTGTTCAAATCAGCCTTATCAACAGGAAGCTTCATCGAAATTGCCTCAATTTGGTCATCCCTGTAAAAGTATTTAAATAAAATCAGTGAAAGGGTCCTTCCTATGCTTATTACGTTTGAATGGAGCTTTGAGTTCTGAAAAATTACGAGAAATTCATATTTTGATTTGTTGCAGACAGCTCTGATTGGATACGAGAAAGCTCCTTCTTGATATTCTCCCCCAAAACCTTAGCAACATAAGAAAAAGGATGGTAACTTACAATTATGGGACCAAAAAGTTTGCTTGAGTTTTACAGTTGTGTTTCTCTTACCTTGTCTATGAAGAAATCAGAGGAAGATCCATCAGAATGAATCTGTTTCTTGATCCTCTTCGTGTCTGGTCCTTCACCTATGGGGCTGGAGACCAACTTGTATTTGTTTGAAAGAGTAGCATCATCCGATCTTTCTCCTGGAGAGAGATATGGTTTCATTGAATCATCCTCGCAGCTGCTTCTCTTCCATTTCTTCAAGCCATCGAAACCCCATGGCTTTTTTGTGGCCTTCACTCCTCTCTCATTACAATCTTGAGCAAGATTTTTGCTTTCACTTTCTTCATCTTGCTTCTCCTTTTGAAACAAAGCTTGAAACGGCTTTCTTTTATTATTTTCATACTTGGTAGATGAAATCAACGGCGTGCTCTGTGGCATAAGTATCGAACAGCTCTCGCCATTTCCATCTTTCTTCTTCTTGGTATTTGATCCTTCTTTCTTCACTTTCCCTCTCCACGGCAAGTTCCAATGAGTTTTCTCTTTAACCTTCTCAGAAGCTTCTGGTGGCTCTTGATCATTGAGATCAATATCAGACCATTCTTCCTCAGTGTTCTTCAACAATGGTGGAGCCCCAACGATAACATCCCTGCAATCAATCTCAATTCCTTGAGCTGCAAGCCTTTGTAAAAGAGGCCTCTTTGAGGAATGGTACTCCTCCGAGGAAATGCACTTGGCAAACAAAAGTTCCTGCCAAAAGATCCAGTATAAAAGATCAAACTTTCTGTTTCAACAGGTGATTATTGAAGAGTACCAGTCTGAATAGTGATTTCATACCTGCAAGAATAAGAGTTTGTCTCGTATAATGTTGGGGAGCTCCAGATCAGCAGGGGAAGCGATAAGAGTGTCCAGGAGGTTGGATCTGAAGGCAGCGACTTCAGCCTCAGGCACCATACCTTCGTTGTGGAGGCCGATGAGGTGCAGAATGCGGTGGAAGGAGTCTTGCTGCCACTTAAGGTTTTCGGCATGGCGCTTTGCCTGCTTCTGATCCGCTTGGAGAAGGCGACTCTTAAAGGAGAAGGGGAGGATGGACTTGCAGAGGGAGGCGATCGTGTCTTGGAAAGAAGAGTAATACATAGGCTTGTAAACATACGCCATTGCTGTTGCTGCTGCTGCTTTCCTTTTGAACACTCTTCAGAAGCTGGGGGAGAGGAAGTGATGGGAGTTTGAATTGAACCGTTACTCAAGTTCTGTTTAAGTGCTGAGCTGAGAGCTTTAGATTGGATATTGAACTGGAGACGGGCGCAACGGTCAAAATTACTAGCCGTTGAGTATTACGGTTTCCACCAGTCGTGGGGCCAATGTTTATTTGGCTGATGAGCCCTGCAAAAATTTTCTAGAAAAGAAAAAGCAACAATGCTTCACATGTACAACCCTATAAATTAAAGATAAAATTTTAAATTACGTATTATTAAAATTTAAATAATGTAAATAAGTATTGAAAAAGATAATAAAAAAAAATTAATTTTGATAATGAAAGTAACGACTTATGCTGATTTAGATTTGTTGAGCAATATGTTAGTGGTCGAACTAACATGTGACTTATTTAAAAAAATAAAAAAAATTTTTGTAAGTTGCTGGACTTGCTATAATAAATTCTTAAAAATAGTTTAAAATAAAATATATTAAATAAATACATTTTAAAAAATAATTTAAAATAAAAAATTTAGAGTTAGTGTAAAATATTTTTTTTATACATATTAAAATTTGTTATGAAAAGATCTTATAAAACTAATAACTTTTTTTTTTTTTTTTTAATTAGCTCAATATCGAATAGTGTTGACTAAACTCTAATTTAAACTGTGATGAAAATCTTCAATTTTAAGGTTAAATATGCTTTATTGTACTCACTCAAACAACCTAAAAAGTGGTAAGGCCATTTAAACTATTTCTCTCCATGTTGCTCACATGAAAATTCATGGTAATGTAGCGAGAAAGTTGTGCACTCTATTTAAACTTATAATTTCAAACACAAACAAATAGATAAATGACTATAAGAGATACCAGAGTTTTCATGTAAAAATTTTAGGAAGGAAAACAACTGAATTGATTGGCCTAACTACGATAAATTCACAATGTAAACATTAATTACAAAGATTCACCGGTTCTCCCAATTGGACAAACCGAGATTACAATTATACTATTTGTTGGCGGTAAATGTTGTAGAGTCGGTAAGAGATAAGAGGCATTTAGATGCTTGTAGCTAAGTGATGGAGATCAAATGACGGTAATGTAGTGATGGTGATTAAATGATGGGCTTGGGCGGTTGCAGTTTGACAACAATAGTTAGATGGCTGAGGTGTGATTATATTGATAGGGCGGTAGTGATCTAATACAATGATTAGGCCACGATTTGCTGATGAAGATCAATTTTAACAATAGTGGCCAAGTGATAGTTGTCTAATGACGAAGATTAGAGGGATTTGATATGACAATGAAGATCAGACGACGATAGTCCAATGTTAAAAAGTGTGCAATAATAGTTCAATAGTAATGGTATGATGATGGAGATCAAGTGTTGATGGTCTAATAATAGTGGTTGGGCAGTGGTGACCTGATGATGGAGATCTGTTGGGGTTTGAAAAGAAGATTTGACTTGCAAGGTACAAAGAAAAATTAAATTTCTTTGGAAAAATTGGAAATTAAATTTCAATTTCAATTTTGAAATAAAAGAAACCATTAAAAATAATGTACCGCCTCGGAAGGCGGAGATAAAATCTCCTAATATGTTCAGACCCTGAAATGTGGATTTTCTCTTGAATGTTGTAGCCTGATTTAAAGGAGAACCACATATGACCATGAAGGGTCTAAATAAAGTTTTGTCAAATATTTGACTATAATAATCGAGAGAAATGATTGTTAGTTTTATATTCGAATTTATGTTAACACATGATATATCTCCTTCAAGAAAGCATATATATCATCCGTTAGCAATCATTCAATTATGACGATAACGATCATTACAAGTTTGATTACCCAAAAGAAATATTAATTGAGTTTTGAAAAAAATAACGTGGGTTCTAAATCTCTTACGAGCACAAGTCCTCGTAGTAAATTATATCGTAGGAAACTAGAGACTAGTGAAAATACTCTCGATTGAAATAACATAAGAAATTTTGTTTAGGAATAATATCAAAGAGGAGAATTTGAAGTTTCAACCAGGACTGTATTAAATTTTGAACACTTATTTCCATGTCAATGGAGGAAAGGTAGGAGACACTTAGAGATTATGAAAAAATTCATAAGTTTCCCAATCTAATCTGAGTGTTGGGCTTTAAATTTTAAATTGTGAAGAATTTTAATTTGAATATATTATTTTATTAGAAATTTAGGATTATATTCCTAGAGGTTGAGACCTTATGACTCAGAATCTATCCCATATTCTAAATCTAAATTTGGGCACCATAGCACTGTAGTCCGAACTTAGCTAATGTAGTTACAAATTTAAACTTATCTCGGCCTGGATCAGGGAACCAGCTAACCACCTAGTCAAACTAAAATCCATGAGTCTGATCATTATTATAAAAAAGTGGTATGGATGTTATAGTTAAAGTTGTTGGGAATTGGGACCGACGTTTAGAGTGGATCCTTATTGGCCGCTTAACTTATGTGGGGTGAAATGCTTAAGAGAAATGAAATTAAAATTTTACTCTTTTAGTTAGTTTTTAATGTGATGCATGCTGATCGACTCGATTAAATACAAAAAATAAGTATGAAGTAATTTTTTAGAATGGCTTAAGAAAATATTTTTTTTCTAAAAATTACACAATATTCCCTTGACAGATCTACACCCTTAAAGACCAAATGGTCTGCCAGAACATACATGCGGGGAACTGCGTAATAAGGAATAGATGGTTAAATATGCTTTATGCAGACTCCTGACAATCCCGTGCATACTTCTTAGATCGTTAAAATTTTTATGTGAGCTAAAAATTTTATTTTTAATTTTAAGTAGAAAATATTTTAATGTGCCATCAGGAGCATCCGCATATCTAGGTTAAAACAAAAATAACATGCAAAGCGCCAAAAAAAACTAAAAAAAAAGTAACCCTATACACAATCAATCATCAAATCAAACACATCAATCAATATAATTAATTCCTTGAAGTAATGTCTGTAGGAAAATGCCTTATTTATTACAACCTAGAATTGTAGAAATTACAAGTGGTCGAGCACCACTAACCACAAACCCGGATTCTAATCTTAAGACAAACGCTAGTGAGTTTGAGTGACATATCCTTTGGCTTCAACTCTTCGTCCTTCTCGTCTTCAAACTCTTTGGATTATTCATACATGAATACCCAAATGGAAAAGAAAACTCTTCCCCCGAGGGGTAGGTTATTATTTTCCGCTTTGGGTATTGAAGTAAAATAAAATTAAGCTTCCAAATGAAAAAGAATTGTCCCACTGAGGGGTATCCTTTCTTTTTTGGAATCCAATTTTAGATACTTGTATTCCAACTCAAAGACTAACTTTCACAACTCTTAACTTTTAAATAAATTACATCGATATAAAAATAAAAATATAGACTCTCCTACATTGTTATCCAAAGTATTTAAAAATACAACACATCCCAAGCAGTTTATATATATATGCAGTAAAGTAAATCACACTTAACCACACTCTTATTTATTTAGAAGCTAAGCAGCTGAAGATCCTATAACATTTATAAAAATTATTAATTTAGCCCCATTTTGTTTCCCTGCACGAGTGTGACCACCTACAGAAAACTCAGTGAGCAACCAGATCAGTCCTAACCTAATGGTAAACTAATGTCCATCACATCAATTCATAAAGTGTTGTAAAAGTAAACAAAAACTCACATCAAGTAAATTTTAATCATAACATACAATGAAATCTCAGAAAATCAGGCACACAGCAACCTAAGGCCGTTGAATTTTCTTAAATCTCAAGCAAATGGTCTCTGTTATGTAGAGTAGAATGCTCCCTAAATGTAGTTCAAACACTCTATCAAATGACTTATTTTGCTTCATCTGACATAGACCGTTCTTTCAAACATTAAGCACCTTAATGATGTTAAAATTAAGCAATTTTGAGCTTATTATATTCATCTTGTCAGGACATTCAATTTGATTATAAGCTTACAAAATTAAGGGATCATTTGGTCAAATAATAAATATTCTAAAGTTTCTAATTATGCTTTTAAGTGATTGGTATTGGAATTGTCGACTAATAAAAGATGGGATTTAAATGTTACGAACATTTATGCCATCCTTGGAGAGAAAAAAGACAAATTGTGAGGAGTTTGTTGTAGGATTCCACATGAGGCTAATCATAATGAAAGGTATTATATATAAAAAAAAAAAGGTTCATAGAAGCTGCTGAAGTCCCTTAGTAATTTTCATGCATAAATGTAATTCCTAGTGAACACCCATTCATTATCTATATACAAATGAAAGTATCAATGCTGACGAGATCATTAATGCTCTCAATTTCTGATTTGTTGGTATGTGGGAGTACAAGCACCATATTTTCTCATCAGTTGATTGGATTAAAGTAGAGGGGATCAAATAAATGAAGTTTTTTTTTTTTTTTTTTAATTTGAGAGATAGTTATGAATCTGCAACTATTACTTCAAATATCCAAATCTTGCTTTTTTTTTTCGTTCTAAGTAGGACGGTCAATATTTGACAAGACACGAAAACTCGACTCAAAAAATCTGGGTTGGACCCGACCCGTTTGAATATTTGGGTCGGGTTCGGGTTGACCCGGCGGGTTGCCGGGTCAACCCAAAAACCCATTTAATTTAAAAAATCCTGCGCTGCCCCACTGCCCCGGACCTGCCCGCGAAGTTGCCCCGCTGCCCCGGACCTGCCCGCGAAGCTGCCCCCCCTGCCCGTGACCCGGATCAGTTCGGGTTCGACCCAAACCCAATCCGTGACCCGAAATTGACACACCTAATTCTAAGTTCTATTCTGAGATCAAGACAAATTACTCATTTGTTTCTCCACCGTTTGAGATTTAGCAATTGTTGATGTTGATTATGTAATAAGCAGCAGATGAATCTTGAGTGTTGACTGATAATGTTGCAACATAATTCTTGAAAGATGTGGCTTTAATGCAAGCAAATTGTACATTGAAGTCTGAAGGTGGAGTATCCATGATATTTAATTATTATGCTAATTAATGGATATCTTTTTTTATTCTATTAAATAAATACGGAAGAGTGTAAAAAAAAAATGAAATAAACTTAAAATTGACAATGGCTATAAGATCTATCTATCCATTCACAAAAAAAAAAAAAGGGATAAGCAGCATTTTTGGTTTAGCTATTGCATAATAGCAATTTGCATCTCTTTTTAAAAAATAGAAAAGTTGAACTCTTTAAATTGTAAGTATATTTTTAGTAATAGTAAAGAGAATGCCGCGTTCA